GGAGGGGGCCGGGCCGGTGAGGTGACGGTCGATCCTCTCCTCGCCCCCGCGGGGCCGTTGGCCGCAGCCAGGTGAGGGGCCCAGGGCTCCCGAGCGGCCTGGCACGGACGGGCGAGGTGAGCGGGGCCGGGGTGAGGGCACGGCTTAACGGCTGCCAGACTCCTTGGGAGGCCAGGCGGCCTTGTCTTTGTGTCCCGGTAAATTTTAAGGGACAAGCGGTCATTGCTCCGTTGTTACTAGACCAGCTTCCATTCGTGCGTGGGCCTTAGCTGTCAGAGAAAATCGTCACGTGTGTGGAGCCGTGCTTTAGTATTTTCTCATCTGAAACTGTATCTTCTGGCTCACCACAAATTTATAAATTTAATCCATAAGCATGGGCCTTATCACTGAGACCCAGTGCTCTAGAAAATGAGTTTCTAAATGCTGTAGCAGCTTTGAGAAACCTTATTTTACAGGTACTGTGAATAGTATAATTACATTCTTTGTTACCGTCCTAAAGGACAGCTGGGAACATGGATCAGATGATGAGATCAGCAGCCCTCAAGACAGGAGAAATTTGCAACTTGCAGCTGTAAGAGCTTGGTGGTGCTGAGCACCCGCGGTTGCCCCACGGTGCAATTCCCAGCTGGCAGCCTCGGATTCTGCTCACTGGAATTGCCTGTCTCGTCTCTCCTCTGCCAGTTCAGGCACGTCAGTCAAAATGAGGCCACTGGGCTCTGTCTCTAGAGAAGTGTCATTAAAAATCTGTCCCATTCTCAATCTGAAGCAACCCATTGACAGCCATAGGATTCCTGCTACACCTAAAAACTACTGACATCCCCAAAGCTCTTACCATCTTTGCCAGAAAAATAAAAAAACATAACCCAACTTGTTCCTGTAAGGAGACCAGCAGCATCCATGTAACACCCTGGCTGAAAAAATTAACCCTCTCTTCTATTATTTGCTCTATTAATGGTGATTTGTTTCAACATTGGATTTAATTCCCTAAGAGGATCTTTTTTCTCTCTACTTTTTTGAATGGTGTGTCTACAACGGGGGTTAGCAAATAACTTATCAGCACCTGCCAGGCTAAGTAATAAAAGTCTGGGTGCTAGTGCAGAGGAGAATGCTAAGAGTTGGCTCAGTTGGCTCACTGGAGGAACTTTCTGCTCGTCAGCTGATGGGGGGGGCATGGGAAATGGCCTTCATACAGACAAGGTCCAGTGCCTTGACACTCGTCACTGTCTCTCGCCCATCCTGATGGTCGCAACACCAGGAAGGCAGCTCACCAGGCAGGACAGCAGTTGACTAGTGCTGTCCCTGCAACCTGACTGTGCTCAGCTTGGCTCGTTACCTCTCCGCTGGAACAGCGCACAGAGCTCGCCACTGCCAGCGGCAGAAAGGCTTTAGGCTCAGCTTCTTTTCCCTCCAGCTACATCCACTGGGATTTCTGAAGTGCTCCCTGCTGTTAGTCTAAGCAGGGCCTTCAAAAGGGATCTCTTGCCCATGCACGGTTGATCCCATGCAGCAGAAAGGGGCAAAGCTTCTGTGGCATCCGTTCCCAAATCCCAGGCTCATGGCCTTCTTTGAGAGACCTAGTAGGGGTCATGGGTAGAAAAACAATAATAAACTCCGCCTCTTTCAAGAAGGTATGTCCAGCTATGCAAAATATTTGTAATACTGACAGGCCAGGAAGTGAGCTTCAACACCAGGCCTGTAATTGTCCAGGCTGCCTAATTGCTAGCTTGCTCCCTGGCTCTGTTTTGCAACTGCTTTTAATTAATCCTCTTCATAACAATGTCCAGGGGTATTATTTCAATGACAGTTCACTCCAAAGACAGCTCCCAAGAGAGCAGTGTGGATTTGGGGAACCTGCCACCTGAGATAGGACTCCAATATTAATAAAAAAAAATTCACCATGAGAGTGACTAAGCACTGTACTATATTGCCCACAAAGATCTGTGAAATCTTCTGTGGAGATACTCACAGCTTGGCTGAACAAGACCCTCAGTACTGATCCAACTTTGAAGTTAGACCTGCTTTGAGCAGGCGGTTGGGCTAGCTGACCTCTAGCAGTCCCTTCCAACCAACATTTTTCCATGATTCATCAGGCTTTGAACCCTCAAGTACCCTCAGATGCTCACAGCGCTACATCACGGGGTCTGAGATACACAGGCTCGTGCTTACGAAATAGAAACCGCTGCCTTGGCAAACTGTAGCACAGCGTTCACCATCAGGAACTTGGAAACAGAAAAAAAAAAACCCCATCCCGTGACAGGGCCACAGGGCTACCACAGCGTCGAGAGTAGACCCGTGGCTGCGCAGCACGAAGAAGGCCACTGTCTTGTGGATGGATGTAACCCCAAGCAATGTGGATGTGAGCCAGGTCTTGCCGTTTAGCTTCAGGGTCAGGGACCCTTCCCGACTCCTTGAGCAGTAAGGCTGTGCATACGTAGGCTGAAGGAAAATGTGTACAGTCAGTGTAATGTGAAAAACCTAGAACAAGAAGTGAATTACAGCTTCAAGGAAGCATTGCTGAGGACGGTCTACTGAATCCATGGCACAGTCCAAAGTCCCAAGAGGGCTACCGTGCTAGTTATGTAAACGTTTTTTGGGGACATTTTAAGCTTTTCTAGTCTTGAACACAGTCAGGACTGCATTCAGTTACTGAAATGTTACGGCATTCAATAACTACGTAGGATAAAATAATCAAAAAATACACTACCTAGCACTAAACTGGAAGTTTGGGGTGACAGTTTCATTACAGTTAAAGGAGGAGAGAAAAAATTGATAGAAAGGTGTACATTTTCAACTCAGACAAGATTATTTTCTTTAGGAAAACCTAGCAACTGTGCCAATTTAGAAAATATCCAGAAGAATCAAGCTGTTCCTTATGAAACGAACTGTGTTTCTTTCATGAACCTAAGAACTACAGTGAGATATTTAGGAAAGGCATATGTCTTCTTTAAATCAGGATAATAAGGAAGTATTTACATACAGTCACAGGTAAAAGCATAGGGAACCAAGACAGCCTAGTTGCTTTCCCACCCTTCCGAAGTACTTTAAGAGAGGTGATACCAGGTTTAATAACATAGCCTTTATTGATGACACTGGAAAGCAGACGTTTTAAAGCAACTAATTTTTCATGAACAGGAAGGAAAATTTTACTTCCTATGATGTAATAACGTAAAATCTGTTTAAGTCACTAATATTAAAAAACAAAAAAGTTTGCGTACTTCATAATGTAGTACCATCAAGAAGTCCTAAGTAACTGTGTTTTCTATAAGAAAGAGGAAAATAAAACAGATTTGCATGGACAGAAGTCAATAGTATAAAACAATTAAATGTATGTTCTAAGAAATTCTGATGGTTTGTGAGCTCAGTTCTTGAGGATGGCTAAAGAAACAGATCCTAGCAGGATCAAACCTTGTATATTTACACTCATAGGTGTAAAAGTAATATTACCAGTTAATTGAAACACGCATTTTCAGTATTGTTCTGAAAATTAATGAAGCCTAGAAGCTAAATTTTAAGCCCAGGTGTTCACATTTGAGATAAAATACTTCTCGCATCCTGTATATATCCTTAAGGCAAAGTATGTTATCATTTGAAAATACCTTGTATATAGTTTCTGCATAAAAATACAAAATAAAAAATAAAACTATATGTATATTTAATGGAACACTATTATGTATGGTCCAGCAGAATAAGGCACGAAAAGTAAATAGAATGCAAAAGCATATATAAAAGTTAATGTGTTATTTTGAGTGGAATATAGCAAAATTCAAGTAGTTCTGAGTATGCTCATTTCTTGCAATAGGAATACATATTTTGTATAGGTATTTCATGCTAAGCCTGATGTTCCAAGATTCACCATGTAAGCATAATCTATCAGAAGTAGGTCATTTGTACGGTGACTGTATTTAGAAATCTGGTACTTTTCAAACCATCTGAAACAAGGCTCCTGTATATGAGACGACTTGGCCTGAAATCCAAGCGTGAATTTTTCCACGAGGCAAAGTACGTGGGTTTCTTGCCCAAGTCACTCGACTCGGGCAAGTTTTGTGTGCATGCTTTATTTGAAGGTTAATACTTTCATTAATATAAATGACAATACACGCCCCCAAAGTTGGACACATTTGCACAGTTTGTTTTCACAGGTATTCACGAGCAAATTTTCCGCCTCTGTAAATTTCCGCAGAGATTACTGTGCGGAATGGGCCACTTGCATCGGTTCCGCTGCATTATCAGGATCAGAAACCCTTCAGGTGAGCTGGTATTTAATTTAGTTTGGAAGTACGGTCTGTTCATCAACAAATAAGCATACGTGTACATGTATAGAGAACAGAGAATCTTAAGGTATTTCGGTTTGATAGGAGGCATACATCATCATTTGTTGTCTGATGGCAGCCTCAAAGCAGCCCCTCCCCGCCAAGTAGTACATACAAGATTTTCACAAAGGAAGGGGAGAGCAGATGAAGTCTTTACTTCCTTCCCAAAGTTTCAGCTAGTTTCTTCAGTCTTTTCTTCAGCTCTAGAGGAAACTTCTCGTAACACTTTTTGCAGACAGGCTTCATATCAAACTCAACAAATTTATTCCTAAAATGACAAAGCAGAAACCAGACAAAGTTTCAGCAGCAGGGATAGTGAAAAAAAATTTAAAAAAGTATCCTATTAAACGTGCGCAGGCAAAAAATTACAACTGCAACTTATACATATATATGAAGTTACTTTCACAAGGTTATACATTGTAGACAGTAATTACAGTACGCTGTTGAGTTAGTTATGCAGGTTTTACCCAAATGGCCGTATTTATTAACTGTGTCATTTAAAAAGCCTTTCAAACCTAACTGTAGAGCTAAACAGACTAAACATAAGATAATGGAATAACAAGTTAGTATTTCAAGTTGCAGTTGTGTGAAAAATACTTTGGTTTTGCTTGCCACAAATTCATGCAAAAACTTAAAATAGAAGCATCCTTAGCACTGACCAAAGAAGAAAGGAGCAGAGGTGGTGGTGAGAAGGAAAAAAAGTTTACAAACAGATTGGCTTTTTCTTTTTCTGCTTCTCTTTATCCTTCGCTTCACGTTCCCGTTTGGCAAGTCGTCGCTTAAATTCATCTGGCATTTTCTCATAACAGTGTTTGCAGACAGGTTTTAGATCAATTTCAACGAACTTATCCCTTTAGAGTTAAACACAGAAAAAATAAAGGACAGAAGAGGAGAAGAGTTAAGAAGACTAACTGAAGGAGGACCTGAACAGACAGCTGAAAGAGATGTAAATTAGTAAGTGGAGCAAGAGGAAGAAAGATGCACCTATTTTCTCAGTGCTGCTTGTATGTTTTTCATACCGTAACAGTTACACTATAGCAACATCTACACTTTGAAGATAACCACTGATATGTTTTGATAAACTCAGTTGTCGATAAACTTACTTGAGTGTTAACTTAGTGTTGCAAGTCGAACAAGCGAAACAGTTCACGCACCATGCCTTATTCAGAGCAGACACAACTAGGGTGACGGGAAAAAAGAAATCATTAGCGTTACAGAAAAGAAAAAAAAGATTTTACAAAAATTTTAAGCTCACGCGTTCATGAGGCATGAAGAACAGCCATTTGATTCTTGTATCAAGTATTAAGGACCGTAACAATAACGTGGCAAGACTAGGAAGGCACACGTGAGTGCAGTGTAGCAGGACCGTGGAGCATTGATAAAGCTGTCTCTGGGGGTACATACAACTCTGTGTTCACCAGCAAGACCAGTTTAACCTATTTCTGCCTCCGGTTGCCTGCTTCCACCTCATCTCATAGCATGCTGACCTCAGACAACTGTTTTATGAGGCTGTGTTTCCAACTTAATCAGGAGACTTTTTCAGCTGAAAAGCAATCTAGCAAGCAGGTGTTCAGGTTTTCATTCGGTTTCATTTCTCAGCTCCGGTTCAGACTGCAGCGCCATCAACAGTAGCACTTGCCCAGCCGAAGAAAATAACGTGAAGCCAGCAGTCAAGACACTGCTGGCAAATCAGCACTACCAAGGTGAAAAAATTTATGGACTCGTGGGATAAATTACTCGATCAAGATAAACTTGGGTATATTTTTATTCTTCGCTTTGGAGAGAAAGTAACTATTTTCTCTTTGTTCTGTATCTCAATCCGTTTTCTGTTCTTCCTCTCTTTCAATGTACCCTTCCACTTTTCCCTGCCAAAATTTGCCTATCATCTTCTTAATCTAAGTTAGAAGATGCAGGACAATGGTTTTCTCATAAAATACGGCATTTTGTCAACAACAAACAGAACCAGAGCATCGTCATGCAGAGCTTTTTTTCCTGCACTATGGGGCAAGCACATCCACAAAAGCATAGTCATTTCACTGCTTGCCAAAATACTACTAGTCAGATGAACGTCTTCGCTCCCAAGCAACCTCTGTAATAGTCATAGACACCCTCCTGAAAAACTGCTGCCACAGACGTTTGTTTCACCAGAGAGAGAACAATACTGGATACTCATCATTTGTGACAGCAGTGTCAAATTTCTGTGCAGAAGTGAAAGAAGAAATGTAAAATAATTGAAGACGTACGTTGAAAATAAAGAAATTACTGCATTACACCACATTCTGTTCAGTTCAGAGACCAAAACATACAATATGCGTATCAAGATTATGTGGTGTAACATTAGAAACATACAGAAATGTAGTTATCAGACATGGCTGAATTTATTCATTCACCTCAAGATCCAGTTCTGCTCATTCTAGTAGGATTTTAATGAAGAGGAGGACACTGTTTCCTCCAAGGCGTTCTAGATTGTCATTCTGCAGGTGTAGTCCAGTCCAGAAAATGTGGGGAAAGCACATCTCTGGAATGTACGTCCCACCCTATATTTACATGACTGTGAACTACTTTATGTCTCTTTTTACATGCTGGAGGCTTCCTCCCACTTTGCTAATGGCTTTGGCTTAGGGGAGGCTAACACTGGTATTATAGTATTTACTTCAAGCAGGGGTAAATAGGCACATAGTAATGTTGCATTATTTCAGGTAGAATAATTTGCTTCTTGGCATTTTATCATAGCTGGTTGTCCAAATAAACCCCTCCAAAACACTTCCCCCCCCCAAAAAAAAAACAACCCTAAACTTAAAACACTTGCTTCCAGTTCTGCCTTTATAGGACACATCTTTCCAAATACAATCTTTCCTGGTTTTATGACATTAACATCAGCCTAGATTTTCAAAAGACAGGTGCCTGTGATAGTTAGGTAGAGACCTCTAGGAACCAAACTGAAATAATGGGAACTAGGCACTTCAAAAAAATCCCTTAGAGTGCCCACCCACATCTTTCAATATCTAAATACTTTTTCAGATTCGGTTCATGATCTCTAAATATCTTGGGGAGATGCCCGTGTGGTCATCCTCGCCCTTGCCTGTGTTCTTTTTTGAAGTTGGTGGGGCAGGAAGCCACCTCTGTGCATCTCCCAGCATCCTTGGCCTTTGCATGTTACTAAAGGGTTTCCAGTTGACCACAGTTCTCTTCAGTCACTGGGTGGTCTTCCACACCATCATGAAACACCATTTGGTCTCTGACTAATTAGCTCAACCTAATTTCTGATCAAGAGAATGGCTGTTTTTGTTTTAAAGAGAACAATCAAGGATTCAACAGGGAGCTGCTTTCCCCTTACTTCCACTTCTAAAGAGAACTTCCATCAGAAAGGAACATTAAGGAAACAGTTAGAAAAGTGCTTACCGTCTCCTTCAATCACACGGTTGCAATGGAAACAAACATCACCGAATAGCTGAAGACGAAAGAGAAGTAATGGATTTTTAATGTAATGATTTTATCGAGGGTAGCTTCTCAAACTAACAAAATAACTGTATTTCAGCTGATGAGCACAATAGCTTTCCTATTTACTTCAGTAAAATAAAGAGGATGCTGGCAAGTCTGGTTTGGTTTTCCAAGTACATTTTGCATCATCTCATCACAAAAAGTCTTCACAATATTAAAGACGAAAACATTTGTTTACATCTCTTTGATCATCTGTAAATATGATTTTGGGTTTTTTTAACATTTCTCTAATCCTGAACATTTGAAATACAGCAGTCGGTGTCACAGACACATCATTACTAATCAGCCAATTTAACATTTGGACTTAGATGCATGACTAGAACAACATATTGCTGTTTCTGGCAAAAATTGTAAGGAAATGTTTTTTTTTATTTTAAAAAAATTAAAAAGGAAAATTTAGGCCAAAAATTATTCATTCTATTTCCAGGCTTAACATTTGTCCACAATGTAACAATTAAGAAGTTCCCAAAATTTCATGTATTTTTTCTAACTGTAGTAGTTAACCTGGTAAAAGACATCCACTCTACATACAGCTCTTGTCTGGTATATGTACTTACCCCATCATGGCTGCAACACTATTACTACTAATGTCATGGCATTTATTGTCTACAAGTATGCCAGCAACATTTCAACCATCTGCCCTTCATCACTGACAAATTAAGAATCCATCTGTAATTAGCAGATGCCTTACAACTCCCAAATGTAACTGCCAGTCTTGTATTTATATGAGCGAAGAGGTGGATGTGACACAACGCAGATGGCTTCCAGATAAGAAGGTCTATACATCGTGGTGCTGGACTACACAATCAAGGGAGCCTGGAGAGAGATGGTACCACGGTATAGAACTCCTATATAAATGCAAGTGGTCACTAGGTGGTGTCCTCTGACAAATTTAGTCTTCGCAGTCTTCAGCAACCTAATGAATGAGCTGGGTGATGCAGTGTATGTTAACACACAGTC